TTATGATTCTTGCCGCTTTCCCGCTATTTGGTTTGTTTTATTCATCTGTTTTTGTTTATTTTATGTTTTTAACTACTATTGTTTTAATTTAATATGTTTTAATCGTATGTCTGATTTAATACTGTCTTAAGCGGGGAGGGGGAATATTGGGATGTATTATATAATTTGTAATTTTAACTTTTGTTAGCCGCTTCAGTTGCGCTCAGGGGGTGGCGTAGAAATAAAATGTATTATTATTATTATTATTATTATTATTATTATTATTATTATTATTATTATTATTATTATTATTATTATGATGTTTAGAAAGCATTTTAGAGTTTTAGCCTAACTGCTGCTGTACAACAAACTAACAAATACATTCTGGGGTCAAATGTCAGTGCCAGTAACAGGACCTTCCTTGAACACATATACTTCTCTCCACTGAATAAAAGAAGACCATGCTTAGTATAGGTTGAATCTCCTTTATCTGGAATTACAAAATCCAAAATACTCCAAAAAACAAAACTTTTTTTCATGGGTAGCTGAGAAAGTGGCACCATTGCTTTCTGAAGGCTCAGTGTACACAAACCTTGTTTCACACACAAAATTATGTTAAATATTGTATAAAATTACCTTCAGGCTGTATGTATAAGGTGCACATGAAACATAAATGTATTTTGTATCTAGACTTCGATCCCATCTCCAAGATGTATTCATTATGAAAATAATCATAAAACCCATTATGTATGCATATAAAATATGTGTTTTCCAATAGAGTCCATCCATCTGGCATGTGGCCTTCCTCTCTTCCTACTTCCCTCCATCTTTCCCAGGATTATGATCTTTTATAATGAATCTTCTCTTCTAATGATGTGTTCGAAGTACAACAGCCTCAGTTTGGTCATCCTGGCTTCTGGGGCAGTTTCTGGCTTGATCTGCTCTAGGACCCATTTTGTTTGTCTTTTTGGCTCTCCATGGGATCCTCAACACTCTTCTCCAGCACTACATCTCAAATGCATTGATTTTCTTCCTATCATCTTTCTTAACTGTCCAACTCTCACATTCCTACATGGTAATAGGGGATACTTTTGTGCTGAGTTGTATATCTTTGCATTTTAGAATCTTTTCTA